CTGGAAGTCAAAACATGCAAAACTGAAACACAATAATAATACTTAATCCATTATGGCCCCAAAACTTTTGAGTGTAAATAAAACACTTTTATTTAAACGCCATATTGATTACTCGTTATTTATCATTTAATGCTTCGAATAATCAACTCATTACTTGGAATACAACAACAATTGTCCCATGCTCCAAGCATGCACACTTTGTTTCCTATGGTCCATCCTTTGTGAAATAGAGCAATTGAAAAACTTTCCAATGAAAATCATTTCATAATTCCCAATCCTTATTATTAGTGTAAGAACACAACATTCTTGCCACTAATAGAATATGTTAGATTCTAACATTCTATGCAATGATCCTTTCGTAATGTCATAGCAAAGAATTCACCAAGACTCGGCTTATGAAATTCCAAGGTATTCTATCGGAAATTGTTACATGACAATTCCGCGAAGTCTCTCATTCAAAGTACATTCCTTTGAATCATCCTTCTTGCATAAAAGATTCTAATCTAGACATAGACTCTTAATATCCAATTTCCAATTTGGAAACATTTCCAAATTTTCCATATGACAACTCATTCTTAACAAATTCTTATCTATTCATAATAATATCGATATGGTCCATCCAATACTATACTTCCAACTGCTCACAAGCGGAAAATCCTCAGCGACCTTTGGATCATCCTTTGATAGTTGTTTAATTATTTTAGTCAAAGCCGATTCTATTCTTTTTCCGTCTTAATGCACTAGGCATTTTGAAAATTTTAGAATGGTCAAATATTATAGCATTTGTAATCGATCCTACACCCAAAGCGTATGAGACACGATGCATAATGTCTTACATAAAGATATGATATTTTATCAATCTTCTGCCATAATATTTGATGTGTCACGTTCTCACTATTCGAACTATGAAGAGGGATGCCGTAATCATAATCGAAATTTGAGAACACATTATGTATCCTTTGACTAAATTTATTAAAATTTCTCAATCTAAGCTTTAGATTTTGAAACGAAGTATAATATTCTCTCCCTTAATTATAGCAAAACAACTTTTCAACCCCTACAACTTTGCAAAGTGAATCTTTGTTTTCTATAATTAATATTCCTAACTTGCAATACTTGAAATAATAATCATGCTCCCACTAACACGATGATTATTAGCATACAAGCATAACACTTATGCTCCCACTAGCTTTGACATATATTCAGAAAACATCTAAACTTCCAGAAAACAATGCTTACTAAATTCCTTAAGTTCATATTTCTAAATACCTGATGCTTTGATAAACCTTTATCTAAGCTTCTTAAACTCATACACCTCTGCCTTAGAAAGCTCACATGCATGTCTAAATTATGTTACTAAGTCCCAAATGTTCAGACCATTTGCCAAATCTCACAATTCGAACTATGAAAAGGGATGTCATAATCATAATCGAATTTGAGAATATAATTTTCACAATTGCAATCTTCTTCAAATCTTTCTTAGTGAAAATATTTCCTAACAATCATTTTCATGAAGTAGATAAACCTTATGACACTTAGATTTTATGGTGTATGTGTTCCTATCCATGTGAATTTGCCAAAGCCAAGGTTTGCGACAAATCCAAACTCATATGGACTGAACTTGTTCAATGTCGATTCCTTGACTCATGGTAGCATGAATGCCCACCATGTCTTCTAGGTTGTTAAGCAGCTCACCCTTACCTTATCACTGTACTTTCCATTGATCAGGGTGCCTTGCCTTTATACAATCCAATTGAGAACTAATAGAACTCATATTGCATAGTTGACTTAATATGGAATGGCACAAAAACAAAATTATGTCAACACGATAGGTTGCCAACCTCAAGTCGTGTGCTAGTGATTAGCTATTGGTTTATTCTTGAATTGTTTTTTGATATTTTCAAGACAATTGAGACTCCCACTGACTTCTTGACATATATGCTTCTCTTTGTCAAAGAATTTTTCTTGACAAAACAAATATTCAAGAGTTAGTGTGAAATCCTATCAAGAATAAAACTTCGCATCCAACATTTACAACAAGAAAATTATTTTCACTAGCGTAGTTTCTGATTGCAAGGTAAATTATTTTCACTAGCGTAGTTTCTGATTTGCATCCAACATTTACAACAAGAAACGGTCAATGTTAATTCCAAAATGCAAACATGACATTAGAATACCTTATTTCAAGATAAAAATTGGTTGTCATATAATGGATCAAGAAAAAAAAGAAATGATGCTAAAATTATTAGAGAGTTTAATCATGTTTGATTTTGGGAAGTGTTTATTTAAAAGTAAAACATGCATTAAAATAAGAGAGTGGACAATAATGGGATCAAATATGGTGTTGATCCTAGGCCAATACCGTTAAATGGAGTTTTTAGTTTTTTTTTTTTTTAATTTATTTTTTTTTCTTTTTATCTTGAACATATGAGCTCACATGAACCACTACATTTTGCATTGTAATTGATGCTATTAATAGAAATTATGATTGATACTACTGATCATGTAACTTTTACACTTTGAATATATGTTACAAAACTCTTATGCCCTAATTACCGTATTACTATTTTTTGAGCAGTAAGTGACAGTCTTCAAGAGCATCGATAGTGGAAGTAGCAGGGTAGAGTGTGTGTGTGTGTGTGTGTATGTGTGTGTTTACAGTTTGTGGAATAGTAGGACCTTGAAGTAAGGGTCCTAACAGATGAATCCAAATGAAAATCCATAGTTAGAGGTAAGTTTTTGTCAATAATCTTCTATATTCGCAAATGTTCTTGATACAAGTGTGTTTTCTATATATCCTTGTAAGAATCTGGATATTCTTTCCTTTTTCTAGTAATGTGTTCGAAGCTTTCATATCTTTTCAAGTTGATGATTTAGATATCATTTCCCTTGCTTCATCCGCTCTTGATTTGGTACAATACAAGTTGCATAAATCTGTTCTTGCCATATGCTACAATTTCTTGATATTACAAAATCAGGGTACTAACCTACAAAGATTTATGGGTTTTTTTTTGTAGTGTTATCTTTTTTAGATTTTTTTTATTCACAGTTATGTACAGATTATGCTACCAAGTTAATTCAGGTAGTTGTAGATTCTTTCTCTACCTCGTCTTCAACAAAAGATCAATCAAAACCAATTGGTCTTTTACCTCCACCAATTACGAAATTAGCAAGATTAGAACATGTATGTTATCAAAGAGGTGTGAAATATATTACTTTATGATCGATTTTATTAGTTTCCAAAGATATATCTAACAACTCATATAATATGTGGTTACATTTATTATGTTTACTTTTTCGGTGTCAATAAAACATAAGACAACCTAAACTCTATATGACAAACTTGAATATATAGAAGCTAAACTCAAAACCTTAAATTATAAAGAGTATACTGCACAAATGGTCCCTGTGGTTTACACAAAATTGCCACTTTGGTCCAAAAACGTTTTGGCTAGCACCACAAGTCCAAAGTTTCCATTTTCTTGCATATTTGGTCCAATGGGTTAACTTCCGTTTGTTTCCCTCTGTTAAGTTATGTTTGACTAGTCAAATCAGGGGTATTTTGGTCATTCCCTATTTATGCCCTTTATTTTATATTAATAAAGGAGAGTAATAAGAACGAATCCCAATCCATCTTCTTTGTCGTTGTTCTCATTTTGATCTTCTGCAACTCTCCGACCGATTTCTTCAAGAAATCAAAATCAAAAATGGTGCTTTGTTTTTGTGGTAAAATGGCCATAGTTCGCACAGCATGGACTGATAAAAATCCAGGTAGACGCTTCTGGGGATGCCCTACTGAGGTACGCATTTTGTTTTTTTTTTTTTGGATTTCAGTATAAATCTCCCATTAGATGTTACGATCTTCTTTTGATTCTTAAATTTTGAAGGGATCCAAATGTCGATTTATTGGGTGGTTTGATGGTCCAATTTGTGAACGTTCAAAAGCTATTATACCTGGGCTGCTGAGGTCAATCAACAAAGTGAAGTCACAAAACACAAGACTCAAGTGTTACCTGTTATGCAGTTGGGTGTTGTTCGTGTTTGTTCTGGTTTATAAGAAGTAGATTGAAGTGTAATGGTTTGGGTGGTTTGTAAGTGTAATGGTTTGGCTGGTTTCTAAGCAGTATATTGAAATGTAATGGTTTGGGTAGTGTTTTAAGGTTTTTGGTAGTATCTTGTTTAAGCAATGTAATCTTTTGGGCAATACTTTGTGGTAGTCTTTTTTGGTTATAATGTAAGCAATGTAAGACATGTTTTGCAGCAATTTGTCAATGGTGATTATATTTGGTATGTACATTTTGACCAATTTATTTTGTTTGTGGTGTTGTTTAAAAGGGCATTAGTCAATTTATATTGGGCAATTTTGTGTAAACCACAGGACCATGTGTGCAGTTTTGTCTTGTGGTTTTGTTTAAAAGGGTATATTGGTCTATTTATTTTGTATATGGTTTACACATTATCAATAACAAATGTATGTTTTGATTAAAAGGGCATATTGGTCTATTTATTTTGTATGTGGTTTACACATTATCAATGAAAATTGTATGTTTTGTTTAAAAGGGCATATTGGTCAATTTATATTGGGCAAATTTGTGTAAACCACAGGACCATGTGTGCAGTTTTGTCTTGTGGTTTTTTTTAAAAGGGCATATTGGTCTATTTATTTTGTATATGGACAAATGTATGTTTTGATTAAAAGGGCATATTGGTCAATTTATATTGGGCAATTTTGTGTAAACCATAAGACCATGTGTGCAGTTTTGTCTTGTGGTTTTGTTTAAAAGGGCATATTGGTCTATTTATTTTGTATATGGACAAATGTATGTTTTGATTAAAAGGGCATATTGATCAATTTATTTTGTATGTAGTTTACCATTATCAATGACAAATGTATGTTTTGTTTAAAAGGGTATACTGGTCAACTTCTACAACAAAAAATTATACATTACAATAACATCAAGACATCATTACATTAAATCCAGTGTAAATTGTTCCCATACATCACAGGGGTACACTATCAAGTACCAAAAGTAACATCCAAAATGGTTAAACCCCAAAACACAGAAAGTACTAAACATACAATACACATAAACATAACATTATCCCAAAAAGACACTTATACCCCTACAAACATCAAAATCCCTTGAAATCCAATCACTTACCCCCTTGGCCTTTGCAAGTTCTAGCATTGTGCCCTTTAATTTTACACTTGCTGCAGGTTACTTGGATAAACTTTCTTGTAAGCTTTCCACTCCTACTAGCAATATTGCTTTGACTCCCACTACCACTAGCAACATTGTCTCCCTTCTTCTGGCTTTTCTCCTCAGCAGAGTGCCTCCTCTTTTTCTTTGGCCTTCCAGGCTGATTTTTGTGTATAGGAGGGGTGATTTTAATTGGGCATTCACTTATAGGCCACATTGCTCGACCTTTAATAGGCTCTACTTTGTACACATAAGCTGCTTTCCATGTTTCTAGCCAGTGCACCCTGTGGGCATAAGTGTGCAGTTCTCCAACTTCCTCACCATTATCTGCTTTGTCATTTAGGACTGCAATGACATGCTTACAAGGGAGTCCTGTTAATTCCCACTTCCTACAACTGCATACTCTTTCAACCATATCAACAACATGTTGATCCTGCCATGGCCCTTGCACTTGGTATTTATCTGACCCATTCCACCTAACTGTGTACTGAGATGCCCAATTCACATTCTTCTCCATGATCTTTGTTGCAGATGGGGTTAGTGGACCAACACACTTCTTTTGAACCTTTATGACATTGCATATTCTTTTCATCATATACTCCCTAATGTACTCCAAGCAGGATATCAGTGGCTTGTCCCTTCCCTCAATCAATTTGCTATTAAAAACTTCACAAAGATTATTTAGAAGCATATCTGAAACTGCTCTGCCTGAAAACACCACAATATTGTCAGGATCAAACATATACTAATACAAAAGGATCAAACATATACCAACACAAAAGGGTAAATTTGGAAGTTGAAGTATATACCTGTGAAGTGGCTTCTTGCCCAATGTTGTGGGGGAATCTGCTTCAACCAATTATAAGCTTCTACATCATATGAGCTGAATTGATGCATCCTATGATTAAACTCTGGTACTGTTGTTGCTGTAGCACAATTCCACAAGTGTTCTTTGTACTCATTAGTTCTCCATGTTTTTCTCATATTGTCATGTATATGCCTAAGGCAAAACCTGTGCTCAGCACATGGGAACAACTGAGAAATGGCAGTCTGCAATCCCTGTAAAGGAATTAAAACATAGTTAATATAGCACATCCAAATATGTCAAATATAAACAACAAATTACAAACCTTTTGTCTGTCACTTATAAATGTGAAGTTTGAGTTTGCATGTAGGTCCAGATCATCTGCAATACACTCTAGAAACCACTTCCAACTGTCAGTGTTCTCAGTCTCAACAATGGCATAAGCTAGGGGGTATATTCCATTGTTGGAGTCTACCCCAACTGCAGTTAAAATTTGTCCTGGGAAAGGGCCCTTCATAAATGCCCCATCAAAACCTAGAAAATCCCTCAGGCAAGCTCTAAAGCCCTTTTTCATTCCACCCAAACACACGTACATCCTTTTAAACCTTCTTGAGGTAGCACTTAGGTTGGGTTCTGAATCAAACTCTAACTTCACAGTGGTTTCTGGATTAGTAGACTGCAACTCCAGGATGTAATCTCTAAGAACATCATATTGCTTTTTGTAATCACCCTGGACAAGTTTTTTTGCAGTTGATTTGGCCCTGAATACCTTGTGAATAGAGAATCCAACTTGATAATCCTTTTGAAGTTGTTCTTGAAGAGCTCTGACTGGGATTGTTGGGTTGGATTCAATCTGGTCCATTATCTGCTTAGAGATAAACTTTGCTGTTGCAGATCTAACTTTTCTTGTCTGGAGGCATTTATGTTCGTGGTTGTAAGTTTTTATGAACCAATTACTATTTACATCTGACCTAGAACCTTGTATCACCCAAGGACAAGGGGTAGGTTCACTGACATGACCATCATTAAAGGCCACAGTTCCTTTACAGATTGCCCTTAACCTCATTTTGTCGTTTTTCACAAAGAATATATTCCTTCTTGTTTCCAGTGCATCAATTGTATCTTTTCCTTTAACTCTTCTTATTTTTATATTTTTGTCCTATCCTAAAAGTTACCTTGTGTATCTCACCTTGAGAGCACCTAGTCTCCTTCCCCAATTCCTTTATTACAGCTCTTCTTTTCCTATCTATATCAGAACCCTCATCCAATGAATCCCATTGATCATTATCTATAACACCCAACTCTTCATTGACCTCATCACTGTCATTCTCTCTATGCTTTGGTAATCTTTTTTCAAGAAATTCTGCTTCAAGATCTATATTCATGTAAAAATCCCTCATGTCTACTTCTACATCAGGGATGATGTTGTCTTCATCCACCCAGAAATCACTATCATCACTGTCCTCACTCTCATCACTTCTTTCAGTATTGTCTTCATCAATCTCTATGTTATCTTCACTTCCATCATCAACTGCAAAATCTCTCATCTCTACATTCTCATCATTCATTTCATTTCTGTCATGATTCTCTTCTTCAGTGACTTCCTTATTAACTGTATTTTCCTCACCTTCATGAACCTCATCATCTACATTCTGTTCATTAGACTGTAAAATCTGTTGGTACAATCCAATATCAAAGTCATTAGCTGCCTCATCAAATTCATTAAATCCCTGGTTAATATCATTACATGCCTCATGAAATTCATTAAAATCCCGGTTAATATCATTACATTCCTCATCAAATTCATTAAATCCGTGGTCAATTTCATTATCTGCATCATCCTTATTCCCACCAATCCTATCAACACTAACATCATCCATCACCAATTTCTTAATACATGATGATAATGGTTTGTCCTTGATAAATTCCCTTTTTTTATTATATTCAGGGGATATTGACAAGGCTAAAGCAGCTTCATTTGCTATCACAGGTGGTATGCATGTTTGTGGCATGCCACTGGGTTGGTTATTAGTTGGTGGGGTTTGATGTTCATCGATCTCCTCTAATTGCTCAATAATAACTTTTCTTACAGGTTTAGGAGCCATAAAGTAAGTAAGCAAGTTAGTAATACCATGCTCGGTGTAAACCCTTATCAGTTTATGCTCCTTCACATACTGGGAAAGATTGAGGACATCATCATCATTTCCCAGGGCCCGTAGCCCAAAATGCATGTCTCCTTTGGCACTCGAAAATGATAGTAGATAACCGGAGGAACTGAGTATCCTAACCCTTTCATAATCGCATCCATCTCGTGAATAGAAAACTCTTCTATATCCACCATATCTACATACGTCACAGTACCCTCAATGTAGTTGACATTTGGAAACTTTGTGAACTCACCTCCATGATGTAGCTTGATGGTAAACAATGTAGGGTGTCCATCTTCAACACAAGAGCAAAAAAAAAAGTTCAGAAGGTATGATTTCTTGTAAGAAAATCAACAAAATGATCAAAAACAAAATTACGTACCATAAACCACCCTTGGGTCGAATGACGTGCTTGACAACCTTAAGTGCCACATTGGTATATGCATTCACTACGAAACTCGCCTGATTGAAGCTATCAACCTTGTTAATCAGTTTAGGGTTCTTGATCCTCAGTCAATGAGGAGGTAAATTGTATCGACTCACGGTTTTTAAGGACTATAAATGTGAATTAGGCTCGATATTATCCGTATGGCAATGCATACATACGAACTCTCCTTTATTAATATAAAATAAAGGGCATAAATAGGGAATGACCAAAATACCCCTGATTTGACTAGTCAAACATAACTTAACAGAGAGAAACAAACGGAAGTTAACCCATTGGACCAAATATGCAAGAAAATGGAAACTTTGGACTTGTGGTGCTAGCCAAAACGTTTTTGGACCAAAGTGGCAATTTTGTGTAAACCACTGGGACCATTTGTGCAGTTTAGTCAATTATAAATTATAAACACTAAAAGAAAATATTTGGTCAAATAATATAAGTTTTAGGGTGATCTAGAATTTTGATGTCACTTAAAAGAATAGTTTTTAAGGGAAATCGCCTAAAATTTTACCTTGATTTATAAAAAAATTTCAAACTAAATTTTGTTAACAAAAAAAAAAACATAAATTACCGGTAAAAATAGCGAGTTAACTAATTTGTTCCTGTTTACCGGTTTCATTACGTACATGCTTCATTAAAGTCTTAATATTTTATCCTAATTTACGAACAAATCCCAAACAAAAATTTAGTGATGATTTGACCATTTTCTCCATTTAACCTATATTTTATCGGTTTCATTACTGACTTACACACATAGTCATTATATTAACTAATAAGATGTGTTATATAATACTACATTTAATGTAAAATTTGATATCCATCTCATCTGCTTATTTATGATTATGTAACTAGGTCAGCAATGAAACCAATAAAATATATGTTTGCAAGAAAAAATTGCAGTAAATGAGCTGATGTCTGATGAGATGGATATATTAAGTTACATAAGATTAGACAGATAATTTGAAATTTTTTATAAACGTAAAAAAAATAATGCAGTTGTTTCTAGTTTATATAATTATTGCAGTTTTCGTTGTATGTATTTTATATTCCAAAAAAATATACAACACATCAAGATATCAAGTTTTATGGTAAATATAACATTATATAGCTCAACATATCCATCTCATAAGCTCATTTAATGACTAGGCATCTAGGTTTGCAATGAAACTGGTAAAATGTATGTTACATGGAGAAAAATATTAAATCATCATTATATTTTAGTTTGAAACTTATTCATAATTAGAGTAAAATAATATGACTTTAATGAAACAGGTACGTAATGAAAACCAGTTAACCGGGAAAGTGGGTCAGATTGTTAGTTTTATCGGTAATTCATGTTTTTTCATAAACAAACTTTAATTTGAGATTTTTTTTTTATAAATTAGGGTAAACTTTTAGTATTTTTCCAAATATTTTCCTTTTTTTAATATTTTAAAGGTAGTACTTTTATTATATGGTTCATATTATAAACCGTAAAAGAACATTAAAACTAATTTTTTGTTTTATAAAAATCTATTAACCTATCGTCTTTAAGTAATGATAATAAGTTATCATTCTAGACAATCCCGTCAAATAAGTTTAAACATAAAATTTAAATAAACAATGGAGGAAGTCAAAGAAGGTTATATTGGTTTAGGGCATCCTAAATTTTTAATTTTTAAAATTTCAAATTTTAAAATGTTATATTAAAATTTTCAAAAAAAAATAATTTTTATAAATTTACTTTTCTAAGAATATATAAAATATTCAATTTTCTTTTAATATTTTATTTATTTCTGACAAAATAAGTAAATAACACTAAAAATCTATCATATTTATTAATTTTGTTAGATTAGCATATACTTATGTAATATTTAACTTTAAAAAATAAAATTTCTAATAGAATTAAGTCTCCACCTGGACGTTAAATAAGCGTTTGACGTGCGTTGATCGCCTAAATTGGATAAGGATCTCCTCCTAGGTACCGATTTATTAGTTACTTTTTTGTTGTTACTAAAAAAAAATATAAATCGTACTTATATTGAAAAAATGAGGATTTAATTGGGTTTTTAATCAACAATATATATTTATACAAAAAACAAAAGTATACATTTATTTTTAGTTCAAAACAACACTTTCTTTTTTTAACAGAAAACATCAACATACTTCTAGTTTTTATCCAAAACATCAACACACTTTTAAATTGATATTTTCGAATGATAAATAAACACCGAGCGAAAGTGATTTATCGAAAAGTAACTTTGGTTCCTTGAAAGATAACATGTTTTCTAATGAAAATAGTTGTCGCATCGAACTCTTCGCCGTTACCGTTTTGCATGGGTAATGGCTGGTGTGTGTGTGTGTGTTTATATATATATATATATATATATATATATATATATATATATATAGAGAGAGAGAGAGAGAGAGAGAGAGAGAGAAAGGTTCAAATGTGGACAAACATCTATTATGCGGACGTATGCACAATACTCTTATGTAAGAATGACTAGGAAAATATATTCTTTGCTAATATGAATACATTCAACCTCATATAACTATTTTCATTATCTTGCATTCTCGCTATTAAATTGTCTATATGGGTATTATAGACTTTTTTACGATTCTAATTTCAGTCAGAATGTGTTATTGATAATCGTATTATGTAAGAATCAAAATAAGTAAAAAAAGATTTTTGAGAAAATAAATAAATAAGAATTAGTGAGAATGTATACACACTACCAAACAACATATTCTCTTTGTCATTCTTATAGACTAGCATTATTCACACACGTTCGCACAATAGATGTTCATCCACATTTTAAGCTAGCCATATATATATATATATATATACACACACACATAGAGACAGAGAGAGAGAGAGAGAGAGAGAGAAAGAGAGAGAGAGAGAGAGAGAGAGAGAGAGTATGTAGTGATTAACATGGACCAATTTGTAACGTCCCTAAAATCCATAAGTTTACAAAACAAACTAAAATCATGATCATGAATGAGAGTATCCCAAAATCATCAAAACACATAAAATCCTGGATGATGTGCACGATCAAGCCTTCGAATTTCCATTGTCCTCTGAAGTACCTGAAACCATAAAATCAAACTTTAAGTCAAAGCTTAGTGAGTTCCCCCAAAATACCCCCACACAACCAAACATATAATAACATGCAAATATGAGCGTTTAGCCTGATTGGACCGTCTTACAGGGCCTATAACCTAGCTAGACTACTCTTTGGGCCTTCGACCTGACGGGACCATCTCACAGGGCCTACAGCCTATTCGGCCCACCCCTGGTTTCTTGGACTTTAGCATAAAGCAGGAACGCCTCAACCCAACGCGTATAAGTTGACATATACAATAAATAATCATAACACATATCCCACAAATATAGGTAACCATACAGGTCTACCAATCTATCATATAACTAGCATAACATCACCCTATATACCAGGGTATATAACCTTGTGGGATGACATTGTTGTCTTTCGACCCAAAAGTACAGTGACAAAGACTCAGCTCACAGACTAAGAAGTAGTTGAACATATCATTGCTCAAATGCTGCCTCTACAGATCACCAATACAATCAACATGGACCCAAACTCAAACTACCATACAAATTACATAAAATGACCTTAAGTCATACTTTGTTAAATTCAATGCTCAAAAGTCAACCTCCAGTTTGTCGCCACGCATGGCCATCATGACATCCCCAATTTCACGGCTAGAAAACACCGATTTGTTTATGCTTTGTTTTTATAAAATCAGAGTAATCCTTTGATTAAAAGAGTTGCGGAATTTGTTCCCGAAATAAAATATGATAAAATAAAATTTATCAAAGCATTTCTTAAAGAAATGTATTTTCATTAAATAACAAAATCTCGGGATGTCATGTTCCGATACATGCTAAAAGCATAAACAATATAAAATAGACCTTGCAACACTTATTTATAACTACTGATCTATAATCCAAAATCTCTCGTCAAGTCCACCAACTTATACCCTTGTGTCACTACCTGCAATGCAAAGAAAACTGAGTTGGTCAGGCTTGGGAGCCTGGTGAGCATATAGGGTTTTAAACCCATAATAATATAATTATTATATTCAATTATCAAACAATTAACCCAACTACCCATCCCCATTATCTTCTTTACTCTTAAGGTTTTACCCTAAGAATCAATTATCCTAAGGATTGACCTAAGGAATTGGCATGAAGTCCATTGCTGCCAAAGTTTATCTATCAGGTACTAAATCCATAGCTATCAGGCGCTAACTCCATAGTCACCAAGGTTTAATCAACAAGCGCTAACTCCATAGTCGCTAATGCTTACTCAATAAGCGCTAACTCCATAGTTGCCAAGGTTTACTCAACATGCGCTAACTCCATAGTCGCCAAGTTTCACTTAACAAGGATCTTTCATCACACATCAACTATTCCATCTACCCATGTTCTACCCAACACATTTGTAGATATAATATATATATATATATATATATATATATATATATATATATATATATATATATATACAGGTTAACTCATTTAAAACCTATATAAAACATTCATTCCACCCATCTCAAATAAACAAACAATATATATAAACACATAGCACGTATTTCATAGAAAATACTTTGTATTTATGTCCTAGAAGAAAGTAACCACACACTCACTCGATTAGACGATGCTCGAACAGCACCACGATTTGTAAAAGCAGTATTCTTCGGTAGATCTTGAAGATCTTCACAAAAACTGGACTTCTCGTGGGCAGAGCTTCGGCTCGGGAATTTCACTTCTCGGGATCTTCGGGGCTTCGGAACTTGCTTCGGGTCTTGGGAATGATACCAGGGCTTCGGGGTATTTCTTGCACGCAAAACGATGCAAAAATAAGAAAGGAAGGAAGAAATGAGCAATAGAACTCGGGTGCACTCGACATCTATTTATAGGGGATGAAACCCCGAATTACGCTGGGCATAATTAAATTTTACGTTGGGCGTAACCTGGAT